CTATGCTTCGCACTATTCCTTTCTGTCCAGGTGAACCAGAGGATCAGACAAGGAATTAGGAAGCCCACGTGTCTAAAGTGTGTGCTCTGTGAGAAAAAACTCAGAAGCTCAAAGAAACTGTATGTGGTGGGTAGGGATATATGTGTCCAAGTGGCAAAATGCTCCCACACTCTCCTCACGCTCTCACTCTCTAGAAAAAGGTGGGAGAAGGTCTCGGTCTCATGGCGTCCAGTCTCAGTACAACACACACATCGGGAGGGGAAGGAGATCCCCCTCGCGTGTAGCACAGTATCCACGGGTATCCGGCACAAGAAGAGGCGCCAAAGGAACACCGAAATAGTAGGGGTGAAAAGGTCACTCCAGATGGCCCCGAAGAGGAGATTCGGCCGATCCCTCAGCCTGATCTGCTCCCAAGACGAGGTAGTAGAAAACACACCTGATGATGTAAGGCTCCACCTCATACTATCTGAACCGTCCCCCGAGATAGGGATCTGCTGGATATGATCTAATAAATGCTCGCTAAAACCCGCACCAGACCCCAACTCCCTATCTAACTTCCCCCTATCCCACGACCCGTCCGTCCAGAGGTCGCTCACAAGCAGGTAGGGGGAATGCGACACCGGCCTGTCCCTAGACAAAGGCCTATCACCTAACCACCACTCATCCCAGAAACTGACCTCGCCATCCCCCAAAACCCAAAAAATGTGATCCTGGGCGCACCTACCAACCCTAGTAAGGCGCCGCCACTGTCTGCTATCGTGCGCAACCGCCGTTACCCAACAAGGGTGGTTGGCGCGTCTAGAGCAGTACTTGCCGCGAAGGTACTGAGCCCAAAGAGACTTTCCTTCCCTGAAGCGCCACCACAACTTGTATGAGAAGGCAGTAACAATATCCCTGAGGCGACGGATGCCAAGGCCACCCTCAGGGAGAGGGCGGCAGATAGAGTCCCAACTCACCCAGTGGGTACGTCTCCCCCTCCCCGAACCATCCTCGTAACCCCAGAAATAACGAGCCATGATCTGGTCAATCTCGTCAAGAGTGGACCTAGAGGGGTCAAGGACCATAAGTAAGTGAATCGGAAGGGAGGTAAGGGTGCTCTTGATCAGAGCAAGCCGACCACCGAAAGAAAGATGTCTATGCGACCAACCAGAGATCCTATCAATCATCCTCTGCCTGATACCCGCAAAGAGCGCCCTCGTGAGGTTGCCCTCATATAAAGGGGCACCAAGGTAGGTAATGGGAAGGTCGCCGCGAGCAAATCCTGTGATCTCGTGGACTCTCTGAGCCCACCTGTCAACACTGGAGGAGGAAAGGGTGACCGTGCTTTTCTGCACACTGATCAGCTGGCCGGTAACCGAGCTATAATGCTCCAGAAGGTGCATAAGCTCGATCAGCCCATCATCATCCGCTCGAGTGAAGATGATGATGTCATCCGCATAGGAAAGTTGCGATACGGGAGGACCATAGCCACGGGTGCTATAAGTCATCTGAGGATAGTCGCAGATGAAGCCGTCGAGGCAGCGAGAGAGGTAGTCTGCCGCAAGGACAAA